TGGAACGCATATATGAGTATGCACACACACACTGGTTACTCTCTCCTTTGGGCTCTTTGCCTTCACAGCCGGACGGACTTCAGAGATAGACCTGGCCCCAGCTGCCTGTTATCCCCTTGCTTACAGAGGAGGCCAGAGCTCGGCGCAGCCCTCTTTCCACAGACCCTGCCACCTTGCTTCTCTCTAGGCCCTTGGCCCAGTCCCTCTTTCCTCCTGGAGAACGTGTGGTTTGCGTTTCCTGTCTTTACTTGCCTTCTCTAAGCCCCTGTTTGGTTCCCTCCTCAGCTGATTTTTGACCCGGACTGATTGGAGTTTGTTCATACAAGAGTGTAGTCCATGTTCAACTCCCAGGGTCCTGCTCTTTGGAGTCTTTAAGGTCCCAGCTCTGAAGTGTGCACGGGCCTTGGGAAGGGGCCCTCCCCGGCCCTCCTTCCGGAGCCCCCGTTGGAGGGGAGCAGAGCCCTGCGAGGTGTGTGTTGATTGGTGGTGAGCACACAGCTTGGCAGAAGGGCCCCCGGATGAAAAGGGTTCAGGAAGGACAGGGCTTGGCTGGAGAGTCAGGGAGCTGGCGGCTCAGACTGAAGAGCTCTGGAGAACCTAAGCTGGCTCCGTTGGCAGTTTCCTAAAATGTGACTCCTCGAGCTGCCCTTCCTCTCTCACCATCTGTCCCCATCTGTCCCGAGGTTGCTCTGCGTGGGCAGAGGACAGCTGTGCCTTATGAGATGTTCGCGGCAGCCTGGGTGGAAGCCCGAGTTCTCTCCCGGAGCCACCCCTGTGGACATGCTCAGCCATGATCTTAGCAGATCTTAGCATCGATGAGGACCCTGCCAGCCAGCATTCACAGTCTGAGACCCCAGGAAGTGACATCTGTCTGCTTGCCTTCCCTGAAGCTGGGGGACAGGGGCATGCCTTTCTGCTCCCACCCCGGGGGGACTAGGCTGGGATGGGGCTCAGTTCCCACCTCCTGGGTTGGAGCAGCCACCAGTTTCCTGTCCCCCACCGCCCTGCCCCTACTACCACCTGTCCCTCCCTCCCTGCTTATTGGAATTGCTCAGGGTGGCCCCTCCGGCATGTCTGTCTCAGCCCCTTCAGTACCTATGAGAAAACGCAGGCCCAAGGAAGATAACTGACTGGTTCCTGGCCTTCCAGTAAGTTTGCATAAAAGCCAGACTTTCTCAGGTCTTTTCTGTCCTTGAGTCTTTTCCCCTCCTCACTGCCCCTGAACCCTTCCCTCCGCCCTACAGTGGAGGGTGACCCCATGCAGAGACATCGCTATGGAACAAAGGGTTATTAGACCAGCGCTGTTAGCTGTGTAACCTTTCCTCAGTCTCTTAACCTCTCTTGTTTCTCTTCTAACAAGAAAAATAGTGATGAGATTTAGAAAGAACAGAACAGAAATGCCTGTGGGTGGTTGCAGAGTTGTTTCAGCTAAAGTTTTAAAAAGAGAAGAAGAGGAATAGAATTCAAATGGGTCAGAGGAAAAATTAATGTTAGCTAGGGGGTTCTCTTGCCTGTGATCCCCATGGATCTTGCCTCTCTAGGAAGTGACCCAAAGGAGACAAAAAGAGGTTCATTCCATAAAGATTGATTTCGGCTTTTGAAACTGCTGCATCTCCTTTCCACCTGTGCTGTCGTCTCCTGGATGTCCCCACCTGTCCTCACCATGAAGGAGGTGAAGGTTTAAGCCTGAGAGCATAGGACCCTTTTTTCTCCTCAACACCCCCCTCCCCCCTGAACTCCATACACTCTAGGTTTAGAAGTTCCTGCAGAAGATGGAGTTCCCACCCTGAGGTTCCCTGGCTTGCTCCAACCCTCTGGGGTCACCACTGGTGTGCCGCTGCTTCTGTGGGGGTGACTGGTAGAGCAGAGGGGTGACCCCCTCCTCACTATGTCCAGCTGCCCCTGCACCGTCAGGAAGGCTCAGGACCCTCGTAGCCTGGGACCTGGCGCCCCCTGCAGGAGCGGTGGCACCTGGGCCGTGATCACAAATGACCAGCGGGACGCCCACTTTACCCAGGCACCTTCTCTCCTGGTCAGAGAGACCCCCATCACTTTCATTTCTTGAAGCTTCTAGAGTATTCTTTTAAACAATAATAAACAGGGCTAATGAGCTGTAGTGTGGTCTGCACGTTCACTTGGAACAGAGTAATGCTTTTCACAGCCACGGGGCAGTGTGATTGTGCTGTTCCCAAGATAACAAGTTCTGAAAAGCAACAAAACAAACCGCAGAGCACTGGAGGCTGGAAGTGGGATGCTGGTTTACAGGTGTTTGATAAGTGTGTCATTTTTGTCCTGGTCTGTGTTTTCCTGGATCATACGTTAGCCTCATTTGGGAGAAGGTCAAGACTTTCCATTTGAGAAGGCCTTTAGTGATGGTGGCATCCTAGTGCTGGGCCTGGCCATGGGGTCTCTGCAGGTGGGTCTTTTAGGGTCTGGATGTGCATTGGGCTCTCTCCCAAGGTGGCCCACAGTGGAGAGAGAGCAGGTGCTTGGATGTGCCGAATGGGACAGAGACCACTGCAGTCAGGGTCATGGGCTTGGTCTCTGTGTGGGTCAGTTAGCTACAGCCTACTCACTGCCCCCTGCTGGTCATCATAGGAATCGGTGACATTACTCTGGAGCAGCAGTTCTCAAACCATGATCCCTGGATCTGGAGAGGCTGTCTCCACCACCTTTCAGGAAATTCACAAGGTCAGAACTGTTTTCATAATAATAACGAAATGCTCCATCCCATTCTCTCACAAATGTACAGAAAAGGAAGAGTTCATGAATATGGTTTCAGATGCCACATTAGCGCTAAATCTTTAAGAAGCTACCATCTGTTGAACCTGGTACATGAGGAAAAAATATCCACGAATATTTGGAAAGACTGTTAAAATACTCCTCCTTTTCCCAACTGTAGTACGTGTTTGTGAGAGTCTAGATGTCTGTCATGTGGAACAAAACCACAGAATCACAAAAGATTGAACAAAAAATCAGATATCATCCAGCTAACTTTTGTTAAACCAAACATTACACAGATCTTTAAAAATGCAAAACAAAGCCATTATTTTCACTCGTTTTTGTTCTGAAAATGCAGCTCTCTAAATTGAAACATGTGAATGCCTAATGGGTTTATTGTTTTTCGATGAATCTAAATTAATTTTTTTTCTCAGTATTAATTTCTAATGTGGTATCAATAGATACAGCCCACATAATTTGGTGTTCTCAAAAACTTTTTATGACCATTTAATGAGATGTAGTTCATATACCATAAAATTCACATTCTAGAAGGATTCAATTCATTGGTTTTAGTTTATTCTCAAAGTTGTGCAACCATCACCACGACCTAATGGCAGAATATTTTCATGACCCCAAAAAGAAACCCTGAACCCATTAGCAGAAACTCATTCCTTCTTCTTTCCGCCCGCACTCCAGCCCCTGACAACCATTAGTCTGCTTTCTGCCTCTGTGGATTTGCCTGTTCTGGACATTTCTTATAAATGGAATAATACAACATGTGGTCTTTTGTGACTGGCTTTTTTTTTTTTTTTTTTTTAAGTAGGCTCTATGCCCAGTGTGGGGCCCAATGCAGAGCTTGAACTCATGACCCTGAGATCAAGACCTGGGTTGAAATTAAGAGCCGGACATGTAAGCGACTGAGCCACCCAGGCTCCCCTTTTGTGCCACCTTCTTAGACTTAGCCATCTTATAGCTTATAGCAGTACTTCACTTTTAATGGCCAAATAATATTCTGTTGTGTATGGGTAACTCCATATGATCTCCATTTATCAGTAGGCGGACATTTGAATTAGTTCCATTTTTGGGCTGTTGTGAATAATGCTGCTATGAACATACAAGCTTTTTTTTTTAATATTTTACTTGTTTATTTGACAGAGAGCACAAGCAGGGGGAGGGGCAGGCAGAGGGAGAGGGAGAAGCAGGGTCCCCACTGAGCAGGGAGCCTGACCTGGGGCTGGATCCCAGGACCCCGAGATCATGACCTGAGCCCTTGAAGGCACACGCTTAACCGACTGAGCCACCCAGGCTCCCCACCAGCCTCAGTAGTTTTTAAGAGTAGGAAGGATTCCTCTGTTTGAGATCTGTTGGACTAGATGGGATTGGACAAGGGCAGTGTGGATAACTCAGTGCAGCCCGTCATCTTTGCTCTGGGGTTGAGTTACAGCCGCCATTCTCTCCGCCCATACACACACACACACGCACACACGCATACACACACAGTCCATTCAGCATACATGCTCAGTACCCTTAAGCTAGATCATCAAAGAGCTGGTCATAGCCTCGGGGGCAAGGAGAAAGGCAGCTGGACTAGACCATGCACATTAAAGCACCAGGAAGTTCTGAAGCAGAGTGGCCTCCCCGCTGGATTCCCAGTGGTGCCATCTTCCTTGTAGTCCTGGCTGTAGCTTTGGCTCCCCACCCTCCTTCCTGTCCTGGGGAGCATTGTGATGGTCAGCAGAACATGTTGGGGAGCAGAAGCCGTGAAGGTGGCCAACTTTAGCTGCACCCGTGGGCCTGGGGTGGCCATGGTGGGTCCCCCAGGCTTGGAAGTGGCATACGGCTTCCCCGGGCCATCTAGCTGTGTGCCCCGCAGCCCCAGCCCCTCCTGCTTGGCACTGTGCTTCATGGGTAGGGGCTGTACTTGGGAGTGGTAGGAGTCAATTGCCCTCCCCTTTTTCCTCTTCCTTCCCTTTCTGCTTCTAACTCCTGATGTCCTGCCAGTCCTGTCCAATCTGGTCACTTAGCTGCATGAGCTACCTAGTTCCCCCTCCCCAAATTATGATCCTTTTGAACGATGAGTTTTGAGGGAACAGAAGCCAGAGGATTCTGATGGCCAGTCATCTGCGGGTGGCCAGGTACGGGGACATGCCGGAAGTGCCAGTGCTTGGTGCCTGACGGTCCCTGGCTGCCACCTGCACCCCAGCTGATGGCGTGCTCTTGGTTGTTCCCCCTTCTCCCTTCAGATGTGACTCCCTGCCCCGCCCTGGGCACTCCGAGCCATGGCCGACACCATCTTCGGCAGTGGGAATGACCAGTGGGTTTGCCCCAATGATCGGCAGCTCGCCCTGCGAGCCAAGTGAGTACCTCCAAGGCCCTGCCAGCCCTTCCCTTCCCTCCTTCTCCCTGCTTCCCTCCTTTTGGGGGCAAGATTCAATATCAGGGACCCAGAAAGAGAAGTTTGGGGACAAGTGCATGTCTAATGCCCGCCACACTCCTGGCCCCAAGGTTGGCACTGAACATTCACTCCTTTAACTGGAATTTACCCTCATTTCTCCAAGGAGGAAAGGGAGGCCGGGCTCCTTGCCCAATGGCAGACCTTGGGACACACGCCCAGGCCCCCTGACTCCCAGGCCTACAGCAGGCTGCAGGGGATCAAACCACTTCCTCTGCCTTCTCTGGTGAGAGTGTAAATCCCCCTGTCACTGAGCCTTCAGTCTCTGAGCCCCTGGAGGCGGGGAGCCTTTGATACCTGGATGCCCCTTCACCTGAGGGCCTCACACTGAGAGGGCAGAGCAAAGGCTGGGCAATAAACCTTGCCAGGCTGAAACACACAGCCAGCCTCGAAGTGTCCCCAGTCTCCTCCAGTACCCTGTCAGGGTCTCTCCGGTTCCGGTTTGTCCCCTCCGGCTCCCAGTTTTCCTGTTATCCCTCAGCCTGGTGACCCCTCAGACCCAGTTAGGTCAGGCCATCTCCACCCACCTCCCCACTGTGGCCAGAGACCAGGGCCTCCCAGATACCTCTCCTGCCTTCCAGGCTTCCCTCTCCATCAGGGATTTGGAGGCCCCTGGTGTCTGATAAGCCCCAAGAACACCTCTTCATCTGTCAAACCATGCCAATTATAGGAGCCAGCATTTCCCATAGGGGACCAAGTTCAAGAAATTTGCAATTAGATGTTACAGGCCTGCAGGGGGACAGAGCTGAAACATCAAAGAGGGCTAGAAAAATTAATCCAAAATGCCCAAGAGTGGAGTCCTCCGTGATTGGCAGGCATCTCTGTGCATCGGTTAATTTGTCCCTCTCTCCAGGATGGCTCGGCTCCTTTCAGTCTCCTGTGCAGCCCCTGCAGGGGAGACCAGGGAGGAAACCAGTCGCTCTCCCTCTCTGCCCCGATGCTGGGCGTGACGATGTGTCCTCCTTGGCAGGATACAAGGAGCTGGGGAGAGCTGCTGCCGGGGCCTGGTGTGACCCCTCATGACCCCCTGGCATTTCCTTCAGTTCTCCCTGACCTTGTCTTGCCCTCAGCAGCAGCCAGAAGCTGTTGTAGCATTTTTTAGTAGAGCAGATGCTTTTATCTCCTCCCCAGGGTGTGCTGCCTTGTAATGCCAGGCTCCTTGTAATGCCAGGCTCTGTAAAGGAGAATACTACAGATCTTGCGTCCAGGTTCTGTCCCGTGAAGGTTCCTCTGGGAGGCCTGGGGAATTTGCCTTCCCTGGCTTCGGCTCAGGTCTGTCCTCCAGCACTATAGGATGCTCTCTAAACCCCTATTAGGGGCCAGGCACTGACTGCACAGCTGTGAACAAGACTGATGTGGTCCTTTGTCTTAAGACCCTGGTGGGGAGAGGGAAGCAATATACATGGAATTACCCCTGCGCGGCTACTTAGACAGCAGAAACAGGCAGTGGGGTGAAGGCAGGTACTAATTTAATCTGGGAATTTGGAGAGGCTTCCCTGAGAATGTGGTTTATGTTAAGTCCTGGAGTAGCAGTAAGTGTTAGATGGAAATAGGGGGAAGGAGCTTCTAGGCAGAAGGAACAGCATGTGCAAAGGCCTTGGGGTAGAAGGAACAGGACATATACAGGGCCTGGCAGGAGGCCGGTGTGGCTTGAATGCAGAAGGAGGTGATGAATGGGGTGAAAGGAAGTTGGGGAAGTGGGCAGGGGCCAGATGGTGTAGGGCTGGTCCTCCAGACTCACATTCAAGAGGGGCGGACAGAGGGTCCTACTTGGCCTTAAAATAATGTTTAAGCTCCATGATGGAGCTATGCCTGGGTTGTCTGGGAATTCTGAGAATGGACTCAATCCATCTTGGAGGGGATCTTCACCCAGAATATGAAGCAAGTCCTTTTTTTTTTTTTTTTTTTTTGAGATTTCATTTATTTATTTATTTTAGAGGGTGAGGGCATGAGCAGGATGTTGGAAGGAGGAAGAGGGAAAGAGAGAATCTCAAGCAGATCCATGCTGAGCCCGGAGCTTGATGTGCTGCTTGATCCCAGGACCCTGGGATCATGACCTGTGCTGAGACCAAAAGTTGGACACTCAACCGACTGAGCACCCAGGCGGTCCCTAAAAGAAGTCTTAAGACTAAAAGAAGTCTTTTTTTTTTTTTTTTAAGTGTTTTAAATTTATTTGACAGAGAGAGATCACAAGTAGGCAGAGAGGCAGGCAGAGAGAGAGGAAGGGGGAAGCAGGCTCCCCGCCGAGCAGAGAGCCCGATGCGGGACTCGATCCCAGGACCCTGAGATCATGACCTGAGCCGAAGGCAGCGGCTTAACCCACTGAGCCACCCAGGTGCCCAAGACTAAAAGAAGTCTTAAAAAGGAATAGGAGTGATGCAGTGGAAAGGGGATTTAGGGAGGGGGGCAGGCACTGCAGGTGGATGGCACAGCGTGGGCAAAGGCCTGGAGAAGACAGCATGCAGCCCAAAGCACACTGTGTGAGGCCAGGGCAGCGGAGGGGTGAAGGTTCCGTACCAGGGGACCCTACTGATGGGTGCCAGGGGCCACTGAAGACTCTTCCTTGGGGCTTACAATCACAGATGCATTTGGCAGCCACGAGCAGTCCACCTTTGTGGCGTTGGGTGGGGGCATTCAGGGGAACAAGAGGCTCCGTGTTAACCAGGGCCATCGTGGGAGTTGCAACCTGACCAGATAGGGGCAGTGGGCCAGGGGAGGAGTTTGTCTGACGGGGCAGGTTGTCAGGGTTTGGTCGGTGACCAGATGGAGGCAGAAAAGGAGGCCAAGAAGATGACCCAGGGAAGCCTGGCTGGGCTTTCAGCAGCCATGGGCCCTGGACTCCATCTAATCGCTCTCAGCCTCCTTACTCTGCTGAGAGAAGGGGAGGCCAGCCTTATAGGATGACAGGAGGGTCTGGCGTGAGGAGGTATGCCATGCCCGAGGTTGGCGCCAGGCCCAGAGCTAACCGGGTAGGAGTGGCACCCTGCAGGGCGGATGATGGTGCTGGTGCTGTGCCCTCCCATTTCTGTGTTCCCGGACCTGCCTTTTCCCTGTGGGGTAGGAGGCCTGAGCCTGGGGACCCTGTTCTCCAGTTCTCCTTCGCTGGCCCAGGGACTTACACCCGGAGGGTGTCCTGGCCAATCCCTAATTACCTGAAACCCAGAAATGCTCAGGTGGAGAGAACCTGCAGCTTGGGGTGGGCAAGTGTTTCTTTTCAAGGCCTAAACCCCTTGAGTCTGCTCGATACACAGAAGAAAGGTGGGCCCGTGCCCCTGCTCACTCTAAGGACTGGCCTCCCTTCCTCTGTCTACCGGCCCTGCCCCTTTCCCACTGTTCGCTTCCCCCGGCCCTGTGAGGACCTCTTCCAAAAGTGTTGCTCTGGGCAGTACTTCTTTTTCACTTGGAGACATAGGCAGTCTAGAAGTCTGGAGACCCTTGGTACAGCACCTTACTTTATGTCTTTGCACCTTTGCACGTGTGGCTTTCCTGCCTGAACACCATTACCTTCTTTCTCTGGGGGAAGCACCTTTCATCCTGCAAAATCCTGTAGGAGCACTGCATCTTTGGTCTAGCCATTCCTGATGGTTCTGCCCATGAGAATGCTAGTCATCATCAGGAACCATCCTGGATGAAGCAGTTGGGCATTTGCTATGTGCAGAGTACTTTGTATACCCTGACCCATTTACTCTGCATGGCATCCCTTAAAGGGACGGATCAGGAAATCCGGGATGAGCAGCTGCCCACATTCTATGGTTGGGAAGGGACTGAGCTAAAGTTAAGACCATCTGGTGGACATCGGTCTGAACCCTTCCCCTTAACGGGCCTGCTGGACTTGCAGAGGAAGGACATGTTCTTTAGCTCTCCTGATGTGCACCGCATGGATAGTTACAAGAACCGTTAGCTGCAGTAGCCCGGATGGGGCAGTGAAGTAAGACCACCAGTGTCCATCCGTGTCAGGGAACCATCAAGAAGGCGTCCACATCCTCACCCTCCTGCCCTGTGTCCTGCATCAGAAACTCTTGCTTGCTGTCATTTCTTTAGGGAAGCCCTTCTAGAACCTTACCTCTGATTGGGTTAGTTCCCTGATTTATACAGCCTCCTAATGTCCACCTGCATGTACCCCGCCAGCAGCCTGTCCCCAGCACCTACCCAGTCTGGCCTTGCAGAGGACGCCCAGTGAATAGGCCACAAACGAATAGCTCTTCTCGTTTTGCATTAAGTAAATATTGGTGTCATTGATGGGTTGTCTTGTGTCCCCAAGCCTGTTGTCATTCTTCGGGGTGGTCACTTTGCTCTCTTGCCCACCTCCGTGTTCCTAGCACCTGGCACAGAATGTCTCGGACAGGCTGGGATCCTGGGCAGAGATTTGGGGCTTGGTCTGTGGCTGCCACTCCATTCCCTCGAGAAAGACAGAAAGGGCATGCGTCCTTCCACTCTGCACTCCTGTCTGTCACCTGCCTGCCCTCGTTGGTTCTCTTTCTGTGCGGCAGCGCCGCCCTTCTGCCCTCAAACCCTCTCGTTTCCAAACTGCTATGTGCACCTCCTTTTACATTCAGGGTTCATTTTTGATCTAATTACCATTCTTTCCCATGCCACAGTGAGCTCCATTCACTTAGATGCCACAGAGCTCAGTCTTTTTTTTTTTTTTTAAGATTTTATTTATTTATTTGAGAGAGAGAGGACAAGGGGGGAGAGGAGCCCAGGGAGAGGGAGAAGCAGGCTCCCCATTGAGCAGGGAGATTGATACAGTACTCCATTCCAGGACCCTGGGATCATGACCTGAGCCGAAGGCAGAGGCTTCACTGTCTGAGCCACCCAGGTGCCCCCAGATCTCAGTCTTGCTGATCTTCTGCACTCTTCCCTCGCAGCCCCTGTGCTGTGGCAGTGGCCTTCTCCGTCTGTCCAGTGGGTCATACCCACGATGCTAAGGTAGCCCTGCCATCTTTGTGGGGCCCGGTGGCTGGCAGGCGTCAGAGCCAGTATCTGAAGCATCTGCCCTGTTCCCCGAACCCCTCTTCTGCACATATAGCACTTGGGCTATCCCCAGACAGTTCTTGGCGGTGGGAGGGCTTTGTGATATGGAGGGGCTGCCTGAGTTTGCCCTGCAGTGGCATCAGGGCCGGCCATGTGCTCTCTCCAGGCTGCAGACGGGCTGGTCTGTGCACACCTACCAGACAGAGAAGCAGAGGAAGAGCCAGTGCCTCAGCCCTGCTGAGGTGGAGGCCATCTTGCAGGTCATCCAGAGGGCAGAGCGGCTGGACGTCATGGAGCAGCAGAGAATCGGGTAAGGACTGCTTCTGAGCTGGGGCAGGAACAGAATGCTTGAGAAGGAAGCAAAGTCATTTAGTGTCAGATCTGTGGGCTGAGAGTGGCGCCCTGGGTCCTAGCGCTGGCATGCAGCACTGGGAGGGAGTCTGCTTTGCCCGAACACCCCTGGGGTGTAGACGCATCACCCAGCCCCACAAAATCTCAATATTCTCCTCTGTAAGAAGTGGATTGTGGCTCCTGCATGGGCCCTAGGCGGTGCGGGGATGAATGAGCATGGTGAAATGCATTTGGAGCTCTTCAGCTCCATACATGTGAGGGTCTGCTCTGGTCCAGCCAGAGGAGGGATTTGAGGGGAATTGGAACCTGGATCGTCCTGCCCCAACAAGGACTCCAAGAGAAGATGCTCTCCAGCTTGTTCTAAGCTCTTCTCCTGGCCTCCAGCATCCAGAGCTGACCTCTATCCAGCCTTCAGACAGTTTGGTGGTGTCTCTTTTTGTTTGTTGAATTAAGAAAGCAGTTCATACCTCCTAGAAAATTGGAAAGACACGGAAAAACACAAGTAGGAAAACAAATGCAGTGCATGGCATTGAGCAGGATTTAATTTGATTCTGATCTCCTTGTTCTATTCATCTTTTTTGTTAAAATATGTGATCATTTAAAAAGTCAGACATTGTAGAAATGCAGGTTTGTTTTTTTTTTAAAGAATCTATTTATTTATTTTGTCAGTGAGTGAGAGAAAGAGAAAGAACACAAGCAGGGGGAGTAGCAGGAAGAGGGAGAAGCAGGCTTCTTGCTGAGCAGAGAGCCCAATGCAGGGCTCAATCCCAGGACCTTGGAATCATGACCCGAGCCAAAGGCAGAGGCCTTAACCAACTGAGCCATCCAGGCGGTATATTCTCCCCTGATCACCTCAGGGGAGAGTATAGGGAGAGGGGGCCTAGGTGTTGGGCCCTGGGCTCTGCCTCTTAGGAACTATGTAACGCTGGTGGGAAGTGACTTTACATCTCTCAGCCTCAGTCTTCTTATCTTTAAAATGGGGGAAATAACATCCTCCTCCCTGGGAGGTTGAGATAACATACCTGCACTCTGTCCTGTGTTCCTTCATTCAAGAACTTTCCCTGTGTGTCCCCTGGGGACTGGAGATATAGTGGCCAACAAAACAGAAGTGGCCACTAGTTTTGTGAGGGTTGTAGTGTTGCCATGAAAAGAAGGGGTCATGGTGGGCTGAGGGGCCATGGGACCCTGAGGAGAGTCCCCTGTCCTAGGCTTAGTACGTTTCAGGGATGGCTCCTGGACACCCGGCGTCAGAGGTTCGAAGGGAAGCTCTTTTCTTTCTTCCTTCAGCTTCTTCATTCAGCCACTTGCTCAAACCAAAACCTCTACGTCATCCCAGGTCGTCTTCTCTCTCTCTCTGACCTCCTGTACTCCATTTCCATGAATGCTGCCTCAGTGCCCCTTCAGTGGGCCTCCCAGCATCTCCTGTTGGCTTCCTCACCTGCACTCCCCTGTTGTAGTCCTGGATTTCTAGGAGTGAGCTTTGAAAACTGCCACTCGGGGGGGCACCTGGTTGACTCAGTTAGAAGAACCTGTGACCCTTGATCTTGGGGTACTAAGTTTGAGCCACACGTCAGGTGTAGAAATTACTTACATAAATGAATAAATAAATAAGAATTTTAAAGAATTAAAAAAAAAATTCAAATGTCCCTTAGATCAAATCCCACCTCTACTTAAAATTCTTCAGCGGCTTCATGTTGATCTTAGAAAATAATCCAAACCCTATTTTGTGTCCTATAAAACCAATGTAACCTGCCCCCTTCTCACCCCTCCAGCCTCCTTTTATCCCAGGATCCTTCAGGCTCACAAGGGAATGGCCACACTGGGCTCCTGGCTGTTCTCGTATGCCAAAGCCTTTGTCTTTGCCACCCCCCCGCCCAACGCTCTTCCCTCTATCTGGAGTGCCCCCCACCCTGCCCTGCTTTTCGCCTGGTTTTGCCTTGTCATCCTTTAGCTCTCAGTTCACATGTTCTCACAGAGGCCTTCACTGATCTCCACCAGACATGCTCCCTCTCAGTCTTCTCCCTACACACTTACTTGATTTCATAGCACTCCCCCTGTCTGAAGTCAGTTTGCTTGTTGACTTTTTATGGGCTTTCTCTTTATTGTCCTATGAGAGCATGTCTGTCTCTGGCTTGTTTGCTACAATATCCCCAGGGCATGGCACATTGTAGGTACTCAATTAATAATTGGTGAGCAAATGAATGATTAGAAGGTAGCCTGGAAAAAGGGTGGGGCAGGGAACAGTATCCCAAGTGAGGGTACAGCACATGGGCCCTGGTATAGTGCTGGGGCCCCATGGCAGCCATACTGGGACAGTGGTCAGGTTGGGAACAGGAAACACATCCATCTGACTCTGTCCTGTGCTGCAGACGGCTGGTGGAGCGGCTGGAGACCATGAGGCGGAACGTGATGGGGAATGGCCTTTCCCAGTGTCTGCTCTGTGGGGAGGTACTAGGCTTCTTGGGCAGCTCATCAGTGTTCTGCAAAGACTGCAGGAAGGTAAGACCCTGCTCTGGCTTCCCAATCTGGACCTGCTCTGTGACTTTACACCCTGGCTTCTAGGAGTGTATGTTGTATGTGTCAGTGTGTGTCCTTGTGTGCAGGTGTGTGCACATGATATCCTGTCCTTCTTGGCAAGAAGAGTTAGAGCCTATGGTTGAATGGTCTGGCTTCTAGGACCAACTCCGGGGAGTGGACCTCTGGGTCTCACAGGCCTGGGTATAAATTCAGCTTTTCCACTAGCTGGATGATCTCAGAAAACTGGTTTAATATTTTGAGCCTCATCTTCCTCATCTGTAAAATAGGGATAATGTACCTTAGAAAATTGTGAGGATTAAATATTATATTCATTGGGTCTTAAAAACCTTGTCTGGCACAGAAGTACTCAGAAAACTTTATTAGTTATTAAAGAACTAAAATTCTCCTCAGGGCGAAACAGTGTGCTAGGATTATTCTTCTAATTCTGTTGATCTGCTCTCAATCCCTGGTCCCTCAAATGAGAATGATCTTTGCTGCAAAGTCAAGTGGATTTTTCCCTTTTCTTATACTCCACTGGTTACTTAAATGGTGCCACATATTAAATTGTTTCAGATTGAGTCCCAGACTTCTTAAAATAACTTTTTGTTTTTCCTGGAGTTTCTAATTGCCTTTCTTTTCTTACTGACCCAAGAATAATGTGCCTTCCAATCCTTAGGATTATTTAGTATCCCAATTTTACTGTCTATTGCATGGAGCCTACATTTTTCCCTCTTTTGGACCTTTAGTCCTACTCCAGTGTAAACTTATTGCTGCATAGCTGTCATCATGGGACTTCCCTTTACTACCCTCCTAGGTTAGAGAGCTGTTCCCAAGATACCATATCTCCCTCTTTCCTTTGTTTTTACTCTAGTTTTACTGTAACTTATCTTCCATTTGTTTTAAGCCTCAAGTTATTTTAGTCAAGACAGAGATAGAAACTTCTCTCGAGATTATATTGGTTGAGGGAACAAAAACCAAATAATGATCAAATAAATAAGAATGTTTCAGGAAGCAATACATTCTAGGAAGAAATAATAGGAAATAGAAGATTGGGGATGGGGTGGAGTGAAGTGGCTAGAGCCAAGAGGACTGTAGGATATAGAGAAGTCAAAGAAGTAAAGATGGACTTAGCTGCGTGAAAGCTGTTGGCAACCTTGATAAGGTCATTTTGAGTGGCATTCAAAAACTGGGTGAGGGAACCCAGATGCAAAAGGGTCAATACACTGAACTAATAAGTGGAAAAGTCAGGATTTCAGTTAAGGTCATTTCCCCGCCTGTTCTGGGACATGTGGTGACCTGGGCTAAGGACTGTGGAGTCTCTGGTGAAGGGTCTCAAGAACAGTGGAGATGTGACCGGGGCCTGGGTGGCAGGATAGGGGTGGGCACTCCTGTGCCCGCCTCTCCTTAACCCTTCCATGGCCCCAGGCTAGATACCAACATAGGCAGTGGGCAGAGGGACTCAGAATGTCTTGCTCCCAGCCCTTGGGCAGATTGGGTTGTACTTTATGACTTCTGCCTGGGACAGTGGGGCCCAGCATCCCATTTCCCCTTTCTGCCCCTCAACCCACAACTGCTGTTAATGTTCAGGTTTGCAGGACCATGACGAGGGGGCAGAGGCTTGTCTCTTCGCCTGGAAAAGTATGGGACCTCTGCTATTGGGGCAGGATGCTGTCTTGACTGGTAAAGGATCCTTGGAGAGCCATTTCCTAGACAACAGTGGGAATCCCAGGGGAGGATCCCAGCTGCTTGTGGAGGGGTGGTAAAAAATGTTCTTCTAGATGCTCTGGACACTCCCCACCCCATTGTACCCTGGAGTACTGGGCTGTTCCAGTTTTTCTCTTTTTTAAGGTTTTATTTATTTATTTATTTATTTGAGAGAGAATAAGAGCTAGCGAGGGAGAGAGCACACACAGAGGGAAAGGGAGAGAGAGAGAGTTCCAAAGATGGAACTCCTGCTGAGCAGGGAGCCCTATATGGGGCTTGATCCCAGGACCCCAGGATCACAATGTGAGCCTAAGGCAGAAGCTTAACCAATTGAGCCGTGGGCTTAACCCAGACAGCCCTGGGCTGGTCCAGTTTGAAATTGTTCATATCCTGCTGCAGACCGAGAATCTGATCTTGGCTTGGGCAGCAAGGTGAAGAGGCCTTGGGGTTTCCAAGGGAAGTGCTCCTGGGTAGAAGTGGGAGGAGAGGGTGCAAGTAGGCATTTGTGTGTTTTCTTCTTCATCCTTGAGAAGATGGTGTCATTCGTTCGTTCATTCATTCATTCAGTCATTCTGCAAATAGTAGAGGGCCCACTATATGCAGGCCCTGTTCTAGGTGCAGGCAATACCATGAGCAAGAGAGACAAAGCCCTTGCTCTCATGGAGCCTTTTTCCAGGAGTGGGAGAAGGGGAACAACAAACAAACAAAATACTATCCGGTAGACTAAGGGCTCTGTAGTGAGTTAGAACAGGGCAGTGTGGTAGGGTACAACTAGGAGGGCCTTTCTGAGCTTAGACCTGAGCACAAGCAGGACCCGGCTCTGGGAAGATCTGGATGGAAAAGTGTTCCAGGCAGAGGGAGCAGCCGGCATGAAGTTCCTGAGGGGGAAAGCAGCTGGGCATGTTCAGGGAACTGATGAAGGCCTCTGGGGCAGAGGTGGACATGCCCATCACATGAGAGCTTCATAAGTCAAGGTCAGGAGTTGAGATTTGATTCTAAGTTTCATGGGATGCCAGTGGAGTGTTGTGAGCGTGGTGTGATGTGATCTGATTTGTCTTTATAAGTGATGAGCCTCTCTGCTGTCTGGTGAGTGGTTGGCAGGGGGACATAAAGCGATAGTGAGTGGCGAGTTAGGCACTGCCTGTCCTTGGGGATGAGACAGTGGGGCTGGAGATGAGGCAGCACGGCATGGAGGCCATGTTCTAAGAAAGTCCATCTTTTCACTGTATCGAAGCAGGTGGGTGATGGAGGGTCGCAGGAGGAAAAGCGGGTCCTAGACTGCCGCCAGGCCAGAGTGAGAGGTTACTGGGTCCGTCCTGCGTGATGGGGGGCCGTGGGCCCCCTGCCTGCCTGCCAGTGCTGTTACTATGCACACGCATGGGTTGCAGTCCTGGTGTGGGGGTGGGGGTAGGCTGCAGAAGGGACGCTGGGAGATCTGGGAAGTGTCCAGATCTAAGTCTCAGGTGCTCCTGGCCACATGGAGCTATCCCCAGCAAGATCCCTGGCACATTCAGCAGCCACAAGCTAATGAGTGTGCCAGCAGAGCCTGTGATGCCGGGCAGGCCTTGGTGCGGTGACCCCCTCCGTAATTGGGCCTGCACGCCCGGGCCACCAGCCCTCATTATGGGAGGGATGTGGTGGGAAGGGAGAGGGGCTGGCTGCTAATTAGAGAGGCCTAGCGCTTCTGATTGCTTAGCAGCTGAGTCAGCCAGCTTTCGGTTTGATTGAGAGCCTTGTCTGCACCAACCAGGGGGGAGGCCAGATGGAGCTGCCGGAGAGCCAGCCTGAGCCTGGGATGGCATTGTCACCGTGACAGGGAAGCAGTCGCAATTGTTCTGGTCTCAGCCAAAATGTGTTCCAAGGTGTGGACAGAGGGGCCTGCCCGGAAAACAGTGGTCGCCACAGTGTGTGCTGAGTACCCGGGGAAAAAGAAAGCTTCTGCTCTAAGATCCCAGCCCCAGCACTAGCCCCCACCACCGGCTCAGACTCAGGCCCATGTTTAGGGCCCTCTGCTCGCCTTGCCCTCCCCACACCTCCCCACCCCCACACCACACACACCCAGCTCAGGGTCCCCACAGCCTCCCTCAGGCCATCCTTGCTCTTGCAGACAGTGGACACCAAACCTGTGGTCTTTCTTACCTTACAGTGTCCCTTGGGCTTTAGAACGCTCTTTCACAAAACTCCTTGTTTGATCCTCAGGACGAAGCTATAGGGAGAGCAGGGGTGGTGAGGCTATTCCCCAGTCATAGCTGGAGAGTAAGGGTTCAGTTGAGGTCACGTGGCCTGCTTGGGTTACCCAGCCGGGTGGTGGGGAGCTGGGTCCCCCGGGGGTGTTTGCTGAGCCATGCTGGGCCTCCTCTCCTTCAGGCCAAAGCAGTCACAGCATTTCCCTTCCTTGGAGAAGCAGGGTTTCATCTTTCTTTCCTTTTTTTTTTTTTTTTAAGATTTTATTTATTTATTTGACAGAAATCACAAGTAAGCAGAGAGGCAGGCAGAGAGAGAGAGGTGGGGAAACAGGCTCCCAGCTGAGCAGAGAGCCCGATGCGGGGCTCGATCCCAGGACCCTGAGATCATGACCTGAGCCGAAGGCAGAGGCTTTAACCCACTGAGCCACCCAGGCACCCCAGGGTTTCATCTTTCTAAAGAATGCAGGAGAAGAAGCATATTCACGGGTTAAATATCGAGAACTTTTCTTTAAAATCAGGAATAAGGCAAGTTCTATGTATGTTTATCACTGCTTCTATCTAACATTGAACTAGCCCCGGCCCGGTGCATTCAGGCAAGGAAAGAAATGTATGGTGTACAGATTGGAGAAGCAGAGCTAAAGCTGTCATCCTCTGTGAATAACGTCATTATGTAACGAGAGCGTCTGACAGAATTTAAATACAAATGGTCACAATTAGTTGGTGGATTTATTAGCAGGGTTGTTGCCTACAAGTTTAATACTACTTGTCAGAAAATCAGTATTCCCATAGACCAGAGACAAAAATGAGAGAAAATAAAAAGTGCAATTTAGGGCAGTGGAGCCACTGATGGGCAGACAATGGTCTTTTGAATAAATAATGCAAAGCTGTTTGGATATTCATCTGGAAAAAAAAATGTATCTTGACTTACCTCACACTGGGCACAAAAGTCAATTCTACATGGATCTCGGATTTATTTATTTATTTATTTATTTATTCAAGCTTTTATTTATTTGTCAGGGAGAGAGGGAGCACAAGCAGGGGGAGGGCCAGAGGGATAAGCAGGCCCCACTCTGAGCAAGGAGCTCGATGTGG